ATATATATATATACGTGATTTTCCATTTCCGGGTAGGACTACCGCTGCCATCAATCACCGAGTCCAGGCTGGTGATTTCCCTGCTAGCGCCCGGTGATTACCGAGCATCACCGACGGGGAGGAGGACTGTTTTGTTTACTAACAGTCCTCCTCCCTGTCAGCTCTGGCGCACTGCTCTGGATGGCTGTGCAGAACAGTGTGATTACAGTGAAGCACACAGACCCCGCCCCACGTAAAACGCTCCCAGCACACAGTTAACCCTTTGATTGCCCTCATATTAACCCCTTCCTGCCCAGTGCCATTAGTACAGTGTCAGTGCTTTTGTTTAGCACTGATCACTGTATTGGTGTCACTGGGGATGTCAGTGACACCAAGTCAGTTTCCCCCCCCCCCCCCGTGTCAGAATGCCCGCTCCTGCTATAAGTTACTGATCGCCGCCATTACTAGTAAAAAAAAAAAAACAGTATCTATACTGCCATAACTTTCACGTAAACCAATTAATTTACAAGTATTGGGATTTTTTTTTTTAAAGACATGGAACAGAATACATTTTGACCTAAATTTATGATGAAATTTGTTTATTTTAATTTTTTTAATGACATGTTTAATAGCAAAAAGTAAAAAAAAATATAGTTTTTTTCTCAAAATTGTTGCTTTTTTTTCTCGGTGCAAAAACTAAAAAAACCGCACAGGCGATCAAATACCACCAAAAGAAAGCTAAATTCGTGGGAAGAAAGGACGTAAATATAATTTGGGTGCGTCGTTGCACGACCGCGTAATTGTCAGTTAAAGTAATGCAGCACTGTAATGCAAAAAATGGCCTGGTCAGGAAGGGGGGGAAATCCTCAGAAGGGCGAGGGGTTAAATACCACCAAAAGAAAGCTCCATCTATCTTCTAGATTGTAAGCTCCCAGGATCAGGGCCCTCCTATCCCTTTTGTATTGAACTGTATTGTTGCTGTATTGTCTCCCGTTATATTGTAAAGTGCGCTGAGCAAACTGTTGGCGCCATATAAATCCTGTATAATAATAATAATAATAATCTCAAACAAATGATAAAAATGTCATATGGGTACAGTGCTGCATGACCGTGCAATTGTCAGTTAAAGTAATGCAGCACCGTAAAGCAAAAAATGGCCGGGTCAGGAAGGCGGGAATCCTCAGGAGGGTAAGGGGTTAAATACCACCAAAAGCAAGCTCCATCTATCTCAAACAAATGATAAAAATTTCATAGGGGTACAGTGCTGCATGACCGCGCAATTGTCAGTTAAAGAGTAACGCAGCGCCGTAACGCAAAAAATGGCCTGGTAAGGAAGGGGGGGAAATCCTCTGGAGGACGAGGGGTTAAATACCACCAAAAGAAAACTCCATGTATCTCAAACAAATGATAAAAATGTCATACAGGTACAGTGCTGCATGACCGCGCAATTGTCAGTCAAAGTAACGCAGCGCCGTAACGCAAAAAATGGCCGGGTCAGGAAGGTGGGGACATCCTCAGGAGGGCGAGGGTTAAATACCACTGAAAGAAAGCTCCATCAATCTCAAGCAAATGATAAAAATTTCATACAGGTACAGTGCTGCATGACCGCGCAATTGTCAGTCAAAGTAACGCAGCGCCGTAACGCAAAAAATGGCCGGTCAGGAAGGTGGAGAAATCCTCAGGAGGGCGAGGGGTTAAATACCGCCGAAAGAAAGCTCCATCAATCTCAAGCAAATGATAAAAATTTCATACAGGTACAGTGCTGCATGACCGCGCAATTGTCAGTTAAAGTAATGCAGCACCGTAAAGCAAAAAATGGCCGGGTCAGGAAGGCGGGAATCCTCAGGAGGGTAAGGGGTTAAATACCACCAAAAGCAAGCTCCATCTATCTCAAACAAATGATTAAAAATTTCATAGGTACAGTGCTAGGTAGCTGCATGACCGCGCAATTGTCAGTTAAAGTAACGCAGCGCCGTAACGCAAAAAATGGCCTGCCTGGTAAATCCTCTGGAGGACGAGGGGTTAAATACCACCAAAAGAAAACTCCATGTATCTCAAACAAATGATAAAAATGTCATACAGGTACAGTGCTGCATGACCGCGCAATTGTCAGTCAAAGTAACGCAGCGCCGTAACGCAAAAAATGGCCGGGTCAGGAAGGGTGGGGACATCCTCAGGAGGGCGAGGGGTTAAATACCACTGAAAGAAAGCTCCATCAATCTCAAGCAAATGATAAAAATTTCATACAGGTACAGTGCTGCATGACCGCGCAATTGTCAGTCAAAGTAACGCAGCGCCGTAACGCAAAAAATGGCCGGGTCAGGAAGGTGGAGAAATCCTCAGGAGGGCGAGGGGTTAAATACCGCCGAAAGAAAGCTCCATCAATCTCAAGCAAATGATAAAAATTTCATACAGGTACAGTGCTGCATGACCGCGCAATTGTGAGTCAAAGTAATGCAGCACCGTAACGCAAAAAATGGCCGGGTCAGGAAGGGGGGAATCCTCAGGAGGGTAAGGGGTTAAATACCACCAAAAGCAAGCTCCATCTATCTCAAACAAATGATAAAAATTTCATAGGGGTACAGTGCTGCATGACCGCGCAATTGTCAGTTAAAGTAACGCAGCGCCGTAACGCAAAAAATGGCCTGGTAAGGAAGGGGGGGAAAATCCTCTGGAGGACGAGGGGTTAAATACCACCAAAAGAAAACTCCATGTATCTCAAACAAATGATAAAAATGTCATACAGGTACAGTGCTGCATGACCGCCTGAGCAATTGTCAGTCAAAGTAACGCAGCGCCGTAACGCAAAAAAAAAAAATGGCCGGGTCAGGAAGGGGGGAAATCCTCTGGAGGACGAGGGGTTAAATACCACCAAAAGAAAACTCCATGTATCTCAAACAAATGATAAAAATGTCATACAGGTACAGTGCTGCATGACCGCACAATTGTCAGTCAAAGTAACGCAGTGCCGTAACGCAAAAAATGTCCGGGTCAGGAAGGTGGGGACATCCTCAGGAGGGCGAGGGGTTAAATACCACTGAAAGAAAGCTCCATCAATCTCAAGCAAATGATAAAAAATTTCATACAGGTACAGTGCTGCATGACCGCGCAATTGTCAGTCAAAGTAACGCAGCGCCGTAACGCAAAAAATGGCCGGGTCAGGAAGGTGGAGAAATCCTCAGGAGGGCGAGGGGTTAAATACCACCGAAAGAAAGCTCCATCAATCTCAAGCAAATGATAAAAATTTCATACAGGTACAGTGCTGCATGGAACCGCGCAATTGTCAAAGTAACGCAGCGCCGTAACGCAAAAAAAATGGCCGGGTAAGGAAGGGGGGGAAATCCTCTGGAGGGACGAGGGGTTAAATACCACCAAAAGAAAACTCCATGTATCTCAAACAAATGATAAAAAATGTCATACAGGTACAGTGCTGCATGACCGCACAATTGTCAGTCAAAGTAACGCAGTGCCGTAACGCAAAAAATGTCCGGGTCAGGAAGGTGGGGACATCCTCAGGAGGGCGAGGGGTTAAATACCACTGAAAGAAAGCTCCATCAATCTCAAGCAAATGATAAAAATTTCATACAGGTACAGTGCTGCATGACCGCGCAATTGTCATTCAATGCATGATAGAAGCTGAAACCTGAAAATTGGCCTGGGCGGGATGGGGCGGGAAGGGGGGGGGGGGTGGTGGTGAAAGTGTCCGATCGTGAAGTGGTTAAAAAAAAAAATGAAAAGGCGGAGCTTTGTTATAGGATGATACTGTTGCTGCGTTTTGTAACATGTTGGAATGTATTCTGGGAGACTTCCACTTTCAGGGACTTATCCACGTCTCTTCTATTTTTTTCTTTAGGTGTCGGTATAAAATCCGGAGACATCAGGGTCTTTTTTTTTTTTTTCCCTGGATAAAGGCCGAGGTCGCCGGCTCATCTGTATTCCGGGGATTATGGGATTGTTCCCACTTATCTCCTGTGCCCTTGACGCTTTCCTTAGGTCCTAGTGAGTCACTCCTCGGATTGGAATCGGGAGTGACAGCAAAACGCGTTCAGCCGGTCTGCACTGTAATGATCTCGGTGTAGCGGGCTCGGTCGCCCGGTGATTGACTGCTCTTCAGGGCCACCTCACTCATCATCGCCATCCAGGATTAAATGACCCTCAGCTGCCAATCTCCTGAGTACAGGGGGGGGGGGGGGTTTAACCCTTTCCTTCCCATCAGTGCGCAGCAATGCAGCCAATATTGTATATGAAACGTGTGCCTCCCCATTGGATTGCTGTGCACATCGATCGCGGTCGGAGCCATTCGCCTGCCTTTTAAAATAATTCCAAGTGGCGGTTTGCGGCTGAACCAGGGGAGGACTGACAACTCATGGGGCTCCCGGGCAATAGGGGATCATGGGGCCCTTGTGTCCTTGCCCAAACTCAAAAAAACCTATGAAAAAGGTATCAGGGGCATCACATGGGGTCCCCTACTGACCTCAGGCCCTCGGGCAGTGCCCGAGTTTCCAAATGGTCAGTCCGCCCCTGGGCTGAACCCGCATATGCAAGTTCGCCATTCTAAAATATAGAGACTTGGTGGAGCGCAGATCACGGAACTCTCAATTATGACCTGTTTGGTAAAGCTGGCGTTTTATTCAGCATCTAAGAGCAGAAAAAAAAAACTGTTTTTGTGGAGTTGTTTTTTGAGGATTTTTCCAGCTGAAAAAACATTAACACTCCCAAGCGCCTCTAAACGCTACTAACAGCTTTTTTTTTTCTAGCTTTTTCTTTTTTTTTTAACGTTTCTACATGTACTGTAAAAACTCTCCTAAACGCTAATAACACGCTATTACCAGCAATTTTTATCCAGAGTTTTTACAGCTTAAAGTGTTACTAAACCCACAACAGTAACATCTGTCTGTAGATACAGTAAAGCAGGGATGTTGAATTGAGATTCAAGGAGGTCCAGTCACTAAAATATTCTTCTGGCTGAGGTCCAAATAGGGTGTGCCCATCAGTGTGCCCCCTTACATCAGGTATCTCCATCAGAGTGCCCCCTTTACATCAGTTGTCCCCATCAGTGTGCCCCCCTTACATCAGGTGTGCCTATCAGAGTGCTCCTTTACATCAGTTGTCCCCATCAGTGTGCCCCCTTACATCAGGTATCTCCATCAGAGTGCCCCTTTACATCAGTTGTCCCCATCAGTGTGCCCCCTTACATCAGGTGTGCCTATCAGAGTGCTCCTTTACATCAGTTGTCCCCATCAGTGTGCCCCCTTACATCAGGTGTGCCCATCAGAGTGCCCCTTTACATCAGTTGTCCCCATCAGAGTGCCCCTTTACATCAGTTGTCCCCATCAGAGTTCCCCTTTACATCAGTTGTCCCCATCAGAGTGCCCCCTTACATCAGGTATCCCAATCAGAGTTCCACCTTACATCAGGTATTGCCGTCAGAGTGCCCCCTTACCCTCAAAGTACCTCTTTCCATCCTATTTCCCATCAGAGTGCCCCTTTACATCATATTCCCCATCAGAGTGCCCTTTTCCATCACATGCGTCAATCAGAGTGCCCCTTTCCACAGTATGTGTCCATTTGTGCCCTCCTAACATAAAATGTTGCCCATCAGAGTGCCCCTTAACATAAAATGTGCCCATCAGAGTGCCCCTTAACATAAATGTGCCCATCCCATCAGAGTGCCCATCTTAATATAAAAATAAGGGGCACTGATGAGAACATTTACTTTAAAGGGCACTCTGGCGGGCATCTTTTATGTTAAGGGGCACTCTGATGAGAACATTTAGATTAAGGGGCACACTTCTGGAAGAATGGTTCAAACCTTCCCATAGACACCCTGCTAAACCTTGTGGACGGCCTTCCCAGAAGGTGGGCCAACCAGGGCCGGTTCTTCCACTAGGCAAACTGCCACCTAGGGGCACCTGGGCACAGCACAGACCAGCACTTTCTCTAGTGTGGGACGTGGCTACATCATGAATGATTCTTCAGCTGAGGCGAAGGGGTGGCAGGGAGGGGAAGAGAAGAAAGGACAGAGGAAGATGTTGGTCTCTTGTGGGAGGGGCCAGTTACAGCAGCTGAGCTGCTTCCAGTGTTGCTACTTCAGACTCAGAGTCATTTACTGCAAGCCAGCTGTTGGCTGCTGATCATTGTGGAGGACTCTGAGTGTCTTGTGTCAGTGTAATGAACTACCGGACCATGGGGTCCACACATGAGCAATGAAGTCAGTGATGTGATGACGCATCATGACCCAAATATGCTCTGAGTATCTAGTCGTAGTATCTACTGCCTGCTGGGGCCTAGAACACACAGAATTCGGCTTGTCTAGCAATACGTGGCGGATTACAGAACGGGAGCAGCTTATTGTGATGCGGAGTACAACGTTTATGTCTATCAGGGAGGGTCAATATAGTGGGAATACGGGATCGTTATAACTCCTGTATTGGGGGTGGTGGGGGGGGGGGGGGATTGGGATCGAGGGGAAACATGTTAAAGATTGAAAAGCGGGGGACACTTGATGTTGTATGTAAAGCCCACACTGATGTTGGGTGATAGGGGAACATTGTGTTGAAATGGTTAAGGGTGGGTATGGTTGGATTTTTTGTGTTTGGGATTGTATATGGGGGGGGGGGGGGGGGGGGGGGGGGGGGGGGGGGGGGGGGGGGGGGGGGGGGGGGGGGGGGGGGGGGGGGGGGGGGTGGGGGTGGGGGGGTGTGTTGAATTGGTGGGGGGTGGGGTGGTGGTGTGGTTTTTTTTTTTGTTGGTGGTGGGTTGGGGGGGTGGGTTGTGGTTTTGGGTTGTTTGATTTAGGGGGTTTTGGGGGGGTTTATTTTTGGAGTGGGGGTGGGTCTGCTAAGGGGACAGGAACAACTGCACCAGCATCAAAGAGATGATGGACATGGCAATGTACCGTCAAATCTTGGGTGAGAACCTTCTTTCCCTCACGCCAGGCATTGGAAAAGGGTCGTGGATGGGTGTTCCCAAAGCATGACATGACCCAAAAACACACGGCAAGGCAACAAAGAGCGGCTCAAACAAAGAAGCACAATAAGGTCCTGGAGTGGCCTAGCCAGTCTCACAGACCTTCATACCGAATGACAAATCTAGTAGAGGGAGTTGAAAGTTCGAGTATCCAAACGTTGCAGCCCACTGAACATTAACGACTTGGGAGAGGATCTGCCAAGAGGGGAAGAGTGGTCCAAACTCCCTCCTTAGATGTGTCGCAAACCTGGGGGCCCAACTCCCAGGCAATTGTGTGAACCTCAGATAATTCCCACCAAGGGAATTTGGCACCAAGAACTACAGTCATGGTATATTTTTGCAGGGGATTCAACATACTTAATTCACTCATAAACCATGCACACTATTTCATTATTATGTTAAGAACAAAACAAAAACGCAATTCCTTTGAATTTTTTTTTGCAATATCTTGTCACTCAGTGTTACAATACACCGAACGAACATTCGATTTTTAGACCGTGATCATTTCTTTCGTGAGGGGGCAAACATTCAAATCAGACCGGGGAGGCAAATACACTTTTCCTTCACTGTAACAATTGCTGTGATCGCCATAGATGCGATTCAAGCCTCATCCAATTTATCTTCTCCATTGACTCCGATGCATTGAGCCAGCATAAGTAACACTTCATCAAATTCTTGATATTTGCAGGAATTTCAGGGAAAAAGAAAAACATTCAATTTCGCTCATTCCTCGGTGGCTATAACAAGGGACGGGTTTTATAAGACAATACAATAAATGCTGTCCAGTAACGAGGACTTACAATTGGTAGAGAAACTCATTGCGATGTAACAAGAACGGCAATAATAGGATACAATTGGAGAACAGCGTGTGGTCCGCGGACCTGGAGGAGATGACTAAGCTGCTAGGAGGTGACTTCAGTGTCTAATCAGACAAGGAGCGTTGAAGGGGGTCCACTTAGCTCAGATGAGATAGGTTTGCCTGAAAGAGCTAGAAATGTGTCAAGAGGTGTTCTTGAAGGTTTCAAGGGTTGGAGAGTGTCAATGGCTGCTGGAAGGGAATTCGGAGAGGAGGAAAAAGGCTCTTGAAAAGTCCAGGCGGAGATAGTGTGAAGGATCATGTAGAATGGGAGAAAAGGGTCGAAGGTCATTATGAGAGGTTGCAGTTGGGTTGCAATCAGGGGCGGATCTGACAACTCATGGGGCCCCCCGTGCAACAGGTAATCATGGGGCCTCTGTGTCTCGCCCAAACTCAAACCATACCCAAAAAAGCCTATAAATGGTACCAGGGGCATCTCTCATGGGGCCCCCTATGACCCCGGGCCCTCGGCGGGCAGTGCCAGAGTGCTCGAGGATGGTCAGTCACACCCCTGGTTTGCAAATACACCAGTTGTGATAGCTGAAATCAGGCTTTCGCCGGGCATGGCCTGATTGTATTTAGGTGTTAGGGGAAAGGACTTCAGGGGACCCGTCTTTCACACGAACGTTTCCATCGGATCTGCCTGCCTGTTGTTTTCAGGTGAACTGATCAGAACCTCACCATTCTCCTCTATGGTGCGCGCGGGTGTAAACGGAACTAGTGTCCATTTACACCCGCCGACATCCGATTCGCCAAAAAAAGGGATGGATGGGGATCCAATTCCCTTTCCGTCCGTCCAGATGTCGGATGAAAATGGACAGGCAGTCCGTTTTCATAACCGCACACGCCATTGAGGAAGAGTGAGAAGCTCTGTGTCCGAGCTGAACATCTGATTCGTCAAAAAAGGAATGGATGCGGGAGTCCCCAATCTCGCCCTTACCGTGCGTACAGATACTGATGGGAAAAACCGAGACACGGCCGGTCCCGCCGTTTTCTACCGAAACAACAAACAACGTCCAAACAAACATGGTCACCGCCCAATTGAAGATAGAAGAAAGCGATAGCATAGAGGCCGCTCCGTGTCCGCTACCGCACATGACCCGATTCTCTCCTCCAATCACCAAGGGATCTCGGAGGGAGCGCTCCCAACTACTCCCTCCCTCGAATCCGTCGAGATCGGAATTGAAATACTGGGACAGGCAGGTCCCATTTTCATGAATGCTGACCACCCCTCGTGGAGCGCAAACAGCGAGCCAGGCTCACAATGTCCCGTTGACCATCTGGATTTGTCATAAAGGGGATGAGGAACTGGTGGTACATATTCCGCCCTTCCATCCGTCGGAATTAGGACCGCATGGAAAACGGACAAGTGTGGTCTGTTTTCTGCAAACACTCCGCCTCATTGAAGGAGGAGCGAGCAGTTCTGTAGTCTGTTTGACATCGCTGATTCGTCAAAAAGGGCATAGGATGATGGAGGCTCCAATTTCCCCTTCGTTCGCATCGGAATAAGTAGATGAAAACAGGACATTCGCGGGTTCGTTTTCATCGGAACGCCGCCCAGATGATGGAGAGCGAGCAGCCTCTGTGTACCAGCTGACATACTGTGATTCGTCAAGAAATGGGATGGATGTGGGAATCCAATTCCCCTTCCGTCCTAGTCGGATCAGAGATGGAAATGGACAGGGCGGTTCCCGTTTCTCATTCGAACACGCCCCAAAATTGGAGGGACAGGAGCGAGCAGCGCACGTGACTTCGGACTCATGCATGCAGCGGATGGAGGGGGCACAGAGCATGTCATACCAGCTTGCTCAGATGGGGATCAGCGAAGAGATCCCAAGCGCTGAGCAAGCGGTTCCACTCCTCCCCTAAAACGGCAGTTCCACCCGTGTGACATAGCATGCCCTTAAGCCTCGTACAACCCAATGAGATTATCGGATCAGTGTTACATCCGGTGTTTTGGGGGATTTCTTATTGTCATGCTGGTCTAGTCATATCGGAACTAGGCGCGAAGAGTTTTACTAAACACTATCGCAAAATTCTTGTATGAATAAGGGATATAACCAATTTCGGAAAGTGATGTCACGTTATTCGTATGGTATTTATTGCTGCATCATAAACGGTATGACTCGCTGTAACTGATTGAAATCAAAATGGATCTGGTATACATGGAAAGTTTTTCGTTGTTTTCTCCACCTTCAAGTAATTATCGGATGAAAAGCTGTGTAATAAACGATCCGATTATCCAAAGCGGTAGTTTTAGTCCGAATTTTCCGACATGTGAGTGTACTAGGATGTAGATCGACTTGTAGGAATGGCTGTTGTACACTGCTATTGGGGTGATTTCAAGACATTCTGGCAGGAGCAGGGACACCGAGGGGGAGATTTAGTAACCCCTGGTTCACTATCCTATGCTGGCACCTCACCCGTGCGGGCCGCCGTTTTTTTGCAAACAGGGTGACGAGAGCCCATTCATGTGAATGGACTCTCACGGTGCACAGGACAATCAAACGCAGGGGGAAAGAAAGTCCCTGGCCACATCTATTGGAAAAATGCTAGCCGAAGGTTTCGCCTAGTAACGGTTAGTGCGTTT